TCCCCCCCAGACACCTCAGCTCTGTGCAGCTGAAGAGCGGAGCTGCCCCAGCGCTACCGGCTTCACGGTTTGCCGGGCAGCCTCCAGACCCTGTGCCCCCGGCCGGGCGCTTCCCCTCCCGGGCTCCGGCTGCGCTGGGGAAGTGGCCAGCCCAGGGCGCAGGGTCTGGAGGTCTGGGGGCTGCCTGGCAAACCATGAAGCGGGTAGCGCTCGGGCAGCCCTTTTCTTGTGGCTGGGAGGGAGGAGGAGGGGGGATGCGGGGCGCTCAGGGGAGGGGGTGGAGTTGGGGCGGGGACTTTGGGGAAGGGGTGGGGCCAGGGCCCCGTGGAGTGTCCTCTTTTTAAAAACCTTTAATATGGTAACCCTACTACCATTACGTCATTCCCAGTGGGTGTCTACACTGCAGTAAAACACTCGCAACTGGCCCGCGGCAGCTGACTTGGGCTGCGGAGCTATAAAACTGCAGAGTAGATAGTTGGGCTTGGGCTCCAGCCCAGGCCCTGAGGGGAGGTCCACACTGCAGTTAGACACCCACGGTTGGCCCGTGGCTGCTGACTCGGGCTCATGGGGCTCGGGCTAAGGGGCTGTTTATTTGCAGTGTAGACGTTCAGACGCAGGCTAGAGCCCGGGCTCTAGGACCCTGTGAGGTGGGAGGGTCCCAGAGATCAGGCTGCAGCAGAGCCCAAATGTCTACACTGCAATTAAACAGCCCCTTAGCCTGAGCCCTACAAGCCCAAGTCAGCTGGCACGGACCAGCCACAGGTGTCTAACTGCAGTGTAGACCTACCCTGTGACCCCTCGGGGGGGGGGGGGGTCCCAGAGTCTGGACTCTAGCCCGAGCCCAAATGTCTGCTCTGCAGCTTTGTAGCCCCATAGCCTGAGCCCGAGTCAGCTGACACAGGCTAGCCAGGGCCGGCTCCAGGCACCAGCTTCTGCTTGGGGCGGCCGCTCCGGAGAGGGGCGGCAGGTCCAGGTATTCGGCGGCAATTCGGCGGACGGTCCCGTC